GTACAGTGCCCACAGAGGACAGAAGAGGCTGTCAGATCCCCTGGAACTGGAGTTACCAACAGTTGTTAGCTACCATGTGGGTGCTGGGATTCGAACCCGGGTCTTCCGCAAGAACAGCCAGTGTTCTTAACCGCTGAGCCATCTCTCCAGCCCCTTCTTTTCTTTTTTAAAACAAGGTCTCATATGTAGTCCAGTTAGGGCTAACCTTAAACTTGCAACCTTCCTGCCTTTGTCTTCTGAGTGCTGGGACTACCTGCCATTATATATGGTTTGGAAAATCAATATTCTTTTTATTAAATTATTTTAAATTTATTATTTTTTGTCTTTCTGAGGCAAGGTCTCCCTGTAGCCCCAGCCGACCTGGAACTTGCTATGTAGCCCAGGCTGGTCTTGAACTCACAAAGATCTGCCTGCCTCTGTCTCCCAAGTGCTGGGATTAAAGGCATGTGCCACCACACCCAGTTTTAAATTCATTTTAATTTTATATGTATGAGTGTTTTTCCTGTATCTATGTAGGTGCACCGTGTGTGTAATGCCTGTGGAGGCCAAAAGACAGTGTTGGACCCCTGGAACTGTGAGTTACTGACAGTTGTTAACTGACATAGTGCTAGGAACTGAACCACTCTGGTCTCCTGCAAGAACAGCCAGTGCTCTCAACTGCTGAGCCATCTCTCTAGCCCTGCAATTTTCCTTATTTTTCTCTTTTTTCCCTGTATGTGTATGAATGTGGTTGTGTGTGTGTGTGTGTGAACATGAGCATGCAGAGGTCAGAGGAGGGTGTCTTCAGTTGCTCTCCATCTGTCCCCTGTGAGGCAGGAGCTCTCAAACCTGGAACTCATGTTTTTTTTTTCTTTTTTCCCACTAAGCTGAAAGCCAGCAAGCCCCCACAGTCCTGAGGTTACAGGTATACAGGACCACACTTGGCTTGATATGTGGGTGCTGGGATTCAAACTCCAGTCCTCATGGGTTTTGTTGTTTTTGGTCTTTTTGAGACAGGGTCTCCCTGTAGCACCAGCTGGCCTGGAACTCTCTATGTAAACCAAGGTGGCCTCAAACTCACAGAGATCCATCCACCTTTGCCTCCCAAGTGCTGGGATTAAAGGCATGTGCCACCACACCTGGCTCTGTTGTTTGGTGTTTTTTTTTTTTAATATTTTATTATTTTTATTTTATGTGTATGAGTGTATTGCCTGCATGTATGTAAGTGTATCCATGTCATGCAGTGCCCATGGAGGTCAAACGAGGGTGTC